TGGTGCAGCCGAGTTTGGCTCTTGCTGCTTCTTCTTGTGTTCGTCCAAAATTTGAGGTCTATCAAATGATGTACGAGGTGGAGAATTGTGACGAAAAATGGTTGCAAGGAGGCAGGCGCCATGGCGCCCTGATTGGGCGCCATGGCACCCAAATTGAAAAAAAGGGCAATGATGTGGGCGCCATGGCGCCCAAGGTTCTGAAGAAACGTGGCGCCATGGCACCCAATTCAATTATATATATATGGCTGTTTTCCCCTTCATTTTAACACCCGTTTTTGAGAGAGAAAATTTGAGAGGGTTTGGATAGAATTTTACAAGATTGAGGTTGTTCATCTTGGGTATAAATTCAAAACTTATTTTCTTTCTTGGGATTAACTTAAGGCTTGTTCAAGTAATCCTAATCCATTGTTCTTCATTTATCTATTGAAATCATTTCTTCCCCATTTTCTTGTTCTTGATGTGGTTTGTGATTTTTCACATTGCAAGTTTGTTTGATCTTGAGCAATCTTTGGGGGGTCATTTTCCCAACAATTTCAATAATAAGGTATTCAATATTTTTTTTTTATCAAAAATTAGGTTATAATTTTTTTAATATAAAAATATATGAATTATGCTACATGTAAATTAAGGTGTTCATAATGATGCCCACCTCCTCACGTAGAGGGGAGATCCACTTCACATAGAGGGGGGATCCACCTCCTCACATAAAATGTACATCATTATGAACATCGTATTATATATAAATACCATATTTCATAACACGAATATACTACTTCAACCATCCACCCCGGCTGCATTTATCAACCCTATTCCCACACACCCATATCACATATTGAAAATATAATCCTTATCTCCCTATATTAAAAACGAATTTTTCTTTCTCTTTCTCAGTGTACAAAAGGCTCTCTCTCTCTCTCTCTACCTCTACATACACACTTCTTCTGTGCATACCATCCTAACCAAGATAAACTTTGTCGATTCAATCTTTAAAATTAGAGGCAAGACAACTATGTATACATACATACAATTATATAGCATCATATTGGTACCAATTCCAACTAGAAATTGAGAAATTAGTCTCGTGTGGGTTATTTGAAATTAAAAAGTTGAAAGGGATTGTAGAAGGATGTTGAAGGCAGAACGAGCACTACCGTCGCTTTGTATACTGCGACCACATAACAATCAATTGTAACTGTAGAGAACATGATGAAGCTCAATATCCATTCAAAGAAGGATGATGGGAGATTTAGATAAAAAAAAATATATCACAAGGTAGAGGATGCCATAGGTCAAGGAAGCTCGATTTTTGGTGTCGACACTAGCAAGGAAAAGGAGAAAAGGGATGACTTGGGTGTTATCTTCATTGGGTTATCTTCATTGTATGTTAACCGTGACCCCTTTGTGTTCAAGTTTGTGTTAATTTTAATCGATTGTGACTAAATTTGTCATCATTGTGATTGTATGTGATCAGGTCTGTTTTAATTGTGACTATATGTGACCAAAGATTGATTGGTAACAGACAATCACAATGAAGACAAATTTGGACACAATTGATCACATATGGTCACATTTAAGAAAGACCCGATCACATCCGCTTTGATAATAGAGGCACTGGCAAGCACAGGTGCCCACCTAGCATCCGGCCTCTGGATGTGAACCAAACTGACTACTTCAAAAGAGATGGGGTATTTTGTGAATTATGTTTAATAATATGACTGCTATAAGAATTTGGGAGAGAGGTGAAAATTAGTGGCGGAGGAGGAGATCGGAGCATCTGAAGAAGGCAACTGTGGTGGTCGTGACAGACGGAGAAATGGAAGAATAGGGTGGCTTCAGTGATGGCATAATCGGAAATGCAAGAGAAATTGATAGGTTTGTGATTGATACAGGAAAAATGCTAAACGATTCGTAACGGTGACCCCACGGATGATTGCACACTCACAATCGAGACGTGGGTCTCAAGTGAGTAAAAAAATATTTTCCCCTTTGTGTGTGTGTATTATGTCAACCGTGCGGTTCATCTTGCATGGTAGTTGATACAGGGACGTAATTTGGGAGGAGAGAGAGAGGTATAATATATTTTGTTATTATAATTTAACATTGATCTGCGAATTTTTTTTAACAAATTTGTTAAATTTGAATCTGGATTCTTGTAAGATTGTATTTTTGTATTCTTTCCAAATAAATTTTGGGAGAAATTAAATGTTGATAAAAATAAAGCTCGAGCAGGGGCTTAGAGCTTGTTTGATACAGTTTAAAAGTCAATTAAAATCAATTTTTTGACCGTTATTTTACTATTTAAGTCGTCGTTTTTGAATTCTTCTTTCACAGATAGGACCTACTTTACCTCTAACGGTCAAAAAATCATTACTAAAATCCTTACCAAATAAGCACTTAATATATCGCCCCAACTCTTTTGTAGTATAATTTTGAAAATATTGTTGTACTAATTTTATAATTATTATTCTCTTGATTTTGTTATTCGTTCGGAGTTCTTATTAACTTATTATTTTACTTTCTTAATTTCTAATCTCTACTTCTATTTTGCTTGCTGTGTCATCAAACGCAATGACTAGTTCATCATCATCTTCTTAGAATGGAAATGACTTATTCAAATCCTTACAAAATTTTCAAAAATCCAACAAAAGGCCATTTACGTACGATCTTCGATGAGATTAAAAAAGAATTAAAGTTATTCTTCTAGAACTATAGAGGTGGTATGTCTTTAACATTTGATGCTATGTATTACGTTGACAATAATCAGTAAGTATATTCGGTATCTTTGTATTTTGATGATTCATCATCAACTCTAATGAAAAATCATTTGTTGTTAAGCCCTTATTTGATGGGTTGAAATCAAAATTTTATTAAAATTGATAAATGCGACATTGAAAAGTTACCGATCTCATGAAATATATAATTAACATTTATTGTTGACTTTAAATTATATTCAAATCTAAATTTTAATTAATACCAAATATAGGCTAAATATATTGTATAAGACAAGCCTATTACTCACATTGCACAAACTCATTCTTTATATTAAAAGACAATTAATAACCCAAATGGTTACTGAATTTTGCAAAAAAAAAAAAAAAAATTAACGGGTTACTAAACTTTAAAAATCACTCAATTCATTATTGAACTTTGTAAAAAGGTTTTCATAGGATCATTGAACTTTGCAAAAGATTTCGACGAAATCATTAAACTATAAAAATTATCTCATTCATCACTGAATTTTGCAAAAACTTTCCTCAAGGTCATTAAATGATCTTGCGGAAATCTGTTGACAAGAATAGTAATGGTTGAAGTGATTTTTGAAGTTCAGTAACCTCATATAAACCGTTTGTAAAGTTTAATGATGACTTGAGTAATTTTTAGAGTTCAATGACTTTTTAAATTCTTTTTACAAAGTTTAGTGACTGTTTGGATTATTAACCCACAATTAGTGTATATTCTGCAACATGCATGGCTAACAACATTGTTCTACCTACTATTATTATTATTATTATTATTTTTTTTTTTTTTGTTCTAATTAGGTGCTTGAATATAATTGTTATATAAAGCCCTGTTTGATTTCCATTTTTTTTCAAAACACATTTTTCAATAAATTAATACTACACACAAGTTCAAAACATTTTCTTATTTTTTAATTACACATTCTCTATCAAAATACTATTTCAAAATGCAATATTTCCAAAAAAAAGGGGATTCAAACATGTCCTAAGTATTCTCAATCAATGACACAATATGGTGCTCATATAAAATCTAGTGTTCATATATTGTAAGGTACTTAAGGTAAATTAGCGAATGCGAAAATTAAAAATATGGAAGCGTAAATGCCAGTTTCACCGTAATGTTCCTCACATTTTCCATAACAATTGAATTCAAGTTATTTTTTCCCACATAGATTTTGAACCGAATTTAGTCTATGAACTTTGATTTGTTATTGAAACGAGATAATCATTTAGAGCCTATTTGGAAGTGATTTTGAAAATTGATTTTTCGACCGTTACGAGAAACATGAGGTCCATCTATAAGAAAAAAAGTCAAATATAACTGCTAGACTGAAATAAAGATCAGAAAATTAATTTTTTGAAGGAAAAAATCACTCCCAAACAGACTATTATTATAATCAATTTCAAAAACAAAATAAAGCCCATGTCCAAAAACAAAATAAAGCCTGGATCTTAAACTAATTGGCCCAAGTCCTTCGACTTAAACTCAAACCTACCTAATCTATCTCTTTATTCCCAAATTCATAATCTAATTGAAATTTGAAACCCAGTTTCTTAAGACTTGATTCTTGGACTTCCAACAATGGCCACAAGCTTTTTCAGCGGGTAGTTAGATGCTAAAAATGTATGCTTCAATCCTTAAGTTTTTTCTCCTACCCCATTTTATTTTTATTTTCTCCATTCTGCTTATAAAAAAAAAATGTATAGAAAACGAAAGAATAATACCTAATTTTATATTGTGAAGCTTATTAGTATTAACTTGCTAAATCTTCTACTTTCTAAATTCACTCTCAAATGTAATTTAAAATTGCCCCCACATGAAAGGAAAACCCTACTTTCGAGGTTCCTCATTGCATTAATTGGATTGAGTAGTATTTTGAATCATGAATATTTTTGCATATTGCTAGATGCTCGAATGCTGATGCTTGGTAACTGCACACTCGATTTTTCATTGCATGGATACACGTTTTTAATGTTATATATGAATTTTATTATGTCGACTTTTTATAATTTCAACCCCCAGACTAAATTCTTGAATCAGCCTATGCTTAGAGGACATAAAAATGAAATATTGCCAATCCAGGATTCTATACCAGTATATACCACTTCATTTAGATAGGCTGAAAGCCTGATATCACAACATGGCCAAAATTTTTTCATTTAAATGCATTCTTGAACAGTAATTTAACCCCATTACAACCACCACACATTCTTCAATAAAATAATATAAAACGCAAACCCAAAACTTTTCCATGTTTTTCAATCACAAATTTTCCATCGTAACACTATTGCAAAATACATTTTTTTTTGAAAAAAATGGGGCTCAAACAAGGCAAATTGAACAAAAAAAATATTTTTCCTCTCCGTGTGTGAGAGATACGAAGGGGGAAATTTTATTTTTGGATGTAACAAACTCAAATCTGGCTCTGCTTCCAACTTCCTCGAAAGGCACAGGTAATCTGTCCATGGGAGAGAGCAAAAAATCCAGTTAGAATACCATCCTGACATAAAAAGAGAGAGATGTTGATTGATTTATGAGGAACAGAAGAATGTGCTTTATCAAGTTTTCATTTATATGGTTTGGAAGGAAAGTCAGAAATAAAATAAGAATGAAGATGAACAATTATCATCTGGGCGAATAATCCCCTTCACCTTGAATACACTAGTGACTACTGCAATTGTCATGACTCCAGAGAGGCAACTGAGGAACTCGTGAAAGTAGAGAATTCAATAACATTCCATGATCTATTCTGTTCAATGCTGTAATTTAACAGACCTCCAACTGAGTATCCAAATTTCTCCATAACTTAATAATGTGGAGGCTCTCCTCTTCTGTTGATCTCTGGAGAACAATTCGAGAAGCATAACCATTCTTCATCATTTGAAGACAAATTTCAGAGGGGTTATTAGCAGTTAGTGTAACCAAGTACAACCAACCCTTATCTGACAAAAGGTTGTCAGCAACAGGCAATATTTTATCAATAATGCTCCGGCCATTCTCACCGCCAGCCCAGGCAGATGCAATGCCAAACTGACCAACTTCGTATTCTGGTGTTGGCACATAAGGCGGATTCACAACCATCACATCTACTGATCCAGCCAGACGCTTCTCTAACCCTGATGCAATGTCAGTTGTTACCAAATCCGCATGACATCCATGTGCTTCCATTGTTTTACGAGTCACTCCAACTGCATGAGGGTTAATATCCGTTGCAATGAAGTAGCAACCAGAACTGTCTTTCCCAAGCATAAGAGCTAGTGAAGTAATAACGTATCCACTACCGCAACCAACTTCCATGCAAATTGAAGGACGGTGCTCTAATAAGTTTGCTCTATCCGCTAGAAGTGCATCAACCAATGCAAATGAATCATCACATGGGTCATATACTTCAGGATGTGAACTCACCAGACGGATTTGAGCAGTTCTGGAAAGCATTTTGAATAAAATCTGCTGAAATGTTTTAAGCTAATGAAGTATGTACAGCAATGGACCTGAAAATTGTTGATATTAACAATAGTAACTTCATTTGTGTTAAAGAAACTCTACATACATAACAGAATCAGAGATGGAAATCCATTTGTAGCTTCATGTATAGTTGCCTCCGAGTTGAGTTTCTAGATTCAAGAATTCTCATATCATATAAATCAATACCAAAAATTAACTTAGCCTTTCTATTTTTCCATTTTGGGCAGATAGCAGTGCAGGTCCCTAAACTTTTCAGGGTAACAAGTTGGTCCGCAACCTATTACTTCACTGCTTTGGAAGAGTCATCCGCATCCTTGTTGCCCCGTGACACGCTATGAACAAAAAGGTGAGGGAAAAAAGGGAAAGGAAAAAAAAAAGGGTCCATTACTATTCCTCCTTTTATTAATTCCAGGCAGTAGCTTATCAATTTCGAAATTTTGATTATTTTTTGTTCCCGAACCGCAATTAAAGAACTTGAAATGCTTTATATTTTACACTAAAATAAATAAATAAAAATCAATCTCTCTAATTCATTGAGCATTACTCAGATAAAACAAATTAATCTTTAAGTGACAAGGATCATTTGTGATCCGGTACATATTGTACTAGACAGGCGGTCAGTTCTAACGGCAGGAAGAAAACCACAAACAACCACATCAAAATTCAAGAGAGATTGTCGAGAAAATTTCTGTTATGTAAGGAAGATTACAACTAATAAACAACAATTTTGGGAAGATGATAAGAATGGCGGGTGGACGAGAGTGTTGAATTAAATCATTCACAACAATCAAATCGAATGCTAAATTAATATATAAAGCTCGTTTTTTACACACATACCTTTCAAGATTGGTTATGGAGAAGTTGACTTTTCCTGGTAGAAATCACAGCAACACGTGATAAATAACCCTCACTTTTATTGCGCCTTCAAATGAGACTGCGTTTATAGTTGGGGAAACTTTTAATTGGGCTTTACATGGATTATAAGCACCAGAATCGCCTTTTATCGACTTCTAGCCTAACTTATACCCTTCAGCTGAATTAAAAAAGCGTAATACGTGACGATGCGTGAAGTTCAAATCATAGGTTAGATGAGCTTAAGCGAAGTAAAAAAGCGTCAAAAGGCGTTTTCTTATTTTAATATTATTTTAATTTGTAATCAATCAAAAAATTATTCAATAATTAAAAATAATACTTATTAAACATCTAAAATAGATTTATATGAACTTTATACATTTTTTTTCAAAATTTTCAACAAAATGACAAGCTTCAAATGTAAATTCTAAATAGTAAATAGATAGAAATTTTTGAAAGTTTTCCTTCGCTCAAGGCTTCAAACAATTGTTTTGAATGTAGGAAAGATGAAGTGAATAAATCAACTTTTAAATTTTAATTTAAAAGAATTGTAATTTTTTTTAAATAAAAAAATATAATAATGCATGCCTAAGCTCGCATTAGCAATCAACGGTTACTGTTGATAGCTATATAAAGCGTCAAACTACCTGGCTTGACGTTTTCGCAAAGCATCGGGCCTAGACGCTCCTTTTAGAATATTGCCCTTCGGTCAACCTATCTATAGCTCTTATTTCACGGAACCAACTACTCCACCTATTTTATAAGTTACAAAAACGTCTACCCAATCAATCACTTAATGGAAAATTAGGTGAAACAGTACATTTAACTTTCGATTATGAGAAATTAGGTGAGCTTTAGTTTTTTTTTCCCTTAATAAATCTGGTCATGTTAGTTATTTAATTAATTAAAAATTTTAAAATTTATCTTTTAAAATATTATTTTAGTTGATGCCTCCCTAAAATTATGGTAAAATGCATATATTTGTTTCCTTTTGTTTCGCCATTAATATAGTGGGAGTAGTCACTCACATTCCACATAGAAGCCACAATTCTAAGGGATGATCAACTGTTATATTTCATTGTATCATAATGATAGTCACGAGTGGCATTTAGGCCACAATATTAAATGTTTTATACAAATAGAATACGTGTTCACAATAACATTTATTTGGTCACAAATTAACGATCAGAAAACACTCATAGGGTTACATGATTAAGAGGAGTCACTTGCCTCTTAATAAAGGTCATAATATACTAGTACGTTGTCCGTTTCATGAATATGCTTCAATGGCTCGTCACATTTTTTTAATAATAATTCAATATTTCATCTAGTTGATCAACGTGTCTTGATAAACAAACAAACAAACAAATTTGCTGTAAAATTCTTTTTTTTTTTTTATCGTAATGTAATCAAATTTTTGCAATTTTGCGAAAATGATTGTTATTTCTCAAAACCAAACTTTAATGTTAGAGAATTAATCTACTTGTACAAAGTTTGTTTCCAAAATTGTTTATAAATTAAGTGTTAGCAAAATCTAGATCATTGATTTTAAAAACTATTTTTGAAATGATTGATCTAAATGTTGCCAACAAACAAACTATACATTGGCAAAAACTAGGCGAATCATTTCAAAAACAGTTTTTAAAATCAATGAAAATCACCAGTTTAGATATTGTCAACACTTAGTTTGTAAACAAACTTTGTACAAATAGATTAATTCGAGATTATTTGATCTAATGGGCCTATCAAAATGCTACAAAAACGTAATCCATGAGCCACAAATAATGAATAATTACTAGAGGAAATTACAAAAAATCAGGTGTTTAAAAAACACAATTCTAAAACCAGGTTTAAAGTTTAATAATGCATTAATCAAGTTTACATCAAAAATTAAACCCCTCACATATTAAAACCCTAATTCATTTTATTAAAACCCCAATCGCTCCCAGCCCCACCTCTCCAAGACCTGTAATTATTTCGGTACTTTTCCTTCCCTTCCTCTACACCCCCTCCCCTCTCTCTTCTTCTTTACTACCAGATCACAACCGGAGGGGATGCCGCACCGAAAATGCCAGCCGACTGCGACTGCAACATGACGTCGGCATTCGGCGATCTCCTTTGTTCCTTCGACGCCTTTGTGCATTCGACTGCAGCATAACAACAGATTATGGTGACTTTGCTCGAAGATCGCCTTTGTGCCTTCGAATCTGAGCGTTGTAGTGGCGATCTGAGTGATGTTTTTTGTGGTGTTAGTGGTGGTTTGACTGTGGAGGTGGCGGCGACGCTAGTGGTGGTGTAGTTGTTCGATCTGCAATTTTTACAGTGACTTTGCTTGAAGATCGCCTTTGTGCTTTCGAATCTGAGTATTATAGTGGCGATTTGAGTGAATTTTTTTGTGGTGTTAGTGGTGGTTTGACTGTAGAGGTGGCGGCGGCGCTAGTCGTGGTGTAGTGGTTTGATCTGCAATTTGGGGAGGGGGTGGGGGGTTTTTTGTTTTTCGATCTGGTGGTGGTTTTCGTTGGAGGTGCAGGTGGGGTGGTGGTGGTGGTCGACGATGGTGATAGTGGTGCGGTGGATCTAGGCATGATATAGGCGGTGGTAGGCAAGTCTGGAGACTGGCTCGTGTGATTTGTTTGTGGCGGTATGTGCGGTGGTGTTACTGGTATGGTATGGTGGTGATGGTGTTTACAAAAATGATGGTGGTGGTGGTGGCATGGCAGTGGTGGTGACCGGTGGTCGCGGGGCAGTGGTGATTGTATTGATTTTGGTTGGCCAAGGGTGGGGGTGTCCATGACCAACAATTCCCCGTCTGTGACCAACTATTTGGACGTTTGTCACCAATTATTTGGTTGATTTGTGACAAAAAATTAGGTATCTGTGACTACAAAATAATTTGTGACCAATAAACTGTGATATGTGACCCATAAATAAAATGTGACCTGTAATTTGAATGATTTGTGACCTCGAAATAATTGATTTGTAACCACGAAATAATATGCGACCAATTAATCGATGATATGTGATCAGTAAATAAATTTGTAACCAATAATTATGAATCTGTGACTATTAATCGTATAATTGTGACTTTGTTATATTTAATTAATAAATATTTTTAATTAATTATACCAAAACCTGAATTTTGCATTTTTAAACTTTGGACATGATTGGTGAATTGATACAAACAATATACCTGAGTTATGAACTTTTCCCTAATTACTATGCGTCCATCACATTATGGTTTGATATCTAATATAATGCATGTACATATTTACAATAATATAATTGTCCAAAAAATGGTTTAACATAAATTAAAATTCTAGATGATTCTATGACCAATGATTTCTGTATCATATCTCCATTTTTAGATGCCCTTTTAACTACTTGTGTCGTGTGGAACTTTCAGTTTGCTTCTAAGTGGTCAAGAAGACATTTGTTTGCCTTTTAAGGGAATAGATGTTGTGAGAATGGTAGAAAACGGCCTTTTGTTCATGTTGGAAACTTTTTTTTAGCCTTTGACCACAATTTACATATAAGAAAATGTGAACAAAATATTAGTATTGCTATTTCCCATTTTAACCTTTCTTCCCATTCTGTTTCGTCCCCTAAATCAAATTTTCTTCTTTCTCTTCTCATTTCCTCTGTCAATCAAAGCTAAAAACCAAATCGTAGAAATTCTAAATACATTAATAAGCTCATCAAATCACAAATTAACAGCGATATTTAGCTTTGAGAAGAAAAAGTTCCATACCATAAGTGCTCTTAAAAAATCTGTGTTGCTTTCCTTTCACTTTGAGGTAAATTATATCGTTCTTCTTCAATTTCAAGAAGCTAATATGGGTTTCTAATATTGAATTTTATGGAATTATAGGCAATTTTATTTTTCTAGGGTTTATCTTTTGCATCTTGATTTTCTTTTCCCTTGCCTTGATGAATTGGATTCTGCTTGGTGTATATGATTAATGATATGAGCTTTCTTTGTTGGAGTAGTTAAGGCTACTAGATGAAACAACAGCTTTAATGAAGTAGAAGAAATGAGTTGACGAAGAAGATAATTTGAATTGTTGGAAAGTCTAGTGAATCAAATAATTTTAAGATAACTACAAAAAAGGAATAATGAAGTTTCATTACTAAGAAAATAGGAATAAAGGTCATGATTGAAAATTTCTTGCTTGATTACAGTAGCAATTCTCGTGGATTAGAACAAAATGCCTTGTAAACATAAAGGCACTCTAAAGCCACACTTGCAAAATAGAACCAAACGATTGGGCTATGTTTGATACTTTTTTGTGTTGACACTTAGCTCCTTGACCGAAAAGGTAAATTTCCTTTGTCTTCTACATGGATAGCACGATTATGAAACTTGTTAAATAATCAGTTCACAAGTTAACTTTAGTTTGGATCTCTTTCAGATGGTAGGCTAATCAAATGTTAAGAATGAGCTTATTTGTCGTTTTGTTTTCCCTAAAGAGACCAGGAGCTTTGATGAAATTCTTGGATGCTCTAGGTCCACGTTGGAATATAAGCTTATTCTTCCACTAAAGGGACGGTTACAATCTCCTAGCTTGTCTTCATTGTTAGTATCATTTTCGTGCATATACTAATGATGCCATTTTGCTGCTATTATTTCTTAATTGACCGAATCCAATGTCTCTACAGGGAGAAGTTGATGCAAATGTGTTAGTAGGTATTCAAGTGGCTTACTCTGAGAGGGATGAGTTCCGTTCTCATTCTAATAGTCTTGGATAAATAGAAAACACCAATGAAGCATTCAAGTTTTTAATGCGATGAAAGCTGTTTCTTTGTTATATAAGGTGGATTGATTTATCCTTAATTTGGTTAGATTTATAATTATCCAAGCTAATTTGCTGAAAGGATGTATATGTCACATCATCTGTTGCGGGGGGAAGATAAGAGAGGTGTCACTGTTTGTTCCCTACCCTTTAGTCTTGTGTTGATTATGCACATCGAACCCTCATTACTTGTCAACTGTATGCATCCCTAGCCTCAAAATTTGCTTATTCTGATTAATATTGTCTTTATGTCATTTTTAACGGTGCAATTATGCTCATTAGCATTTTTCCCAATAGCTAAACTGTGTTATCATTTATTGAATCTGATCTGTCATGATGAATTGACAACATTCATCCCTTATTTTTAATCCAACTCTCTTAGTGTTCTTGCAATGC